ACCACGACCGAATTCTGGATGTTTTTGACAGATGAGGACTGAAAACCATACCAATACAAATTAAAGAATATTTATTAATGCTTTACATTGTTTAAACAGACATGGTTGAGCTGGACTCCACTAGAATATTCTTCCTTCAGGTCCTGGCTCCAAATGATCTGACATCATAAGACACCAGTAATAATGTACTCAGCTATTCATATGAAAGCTATTCATTTCAATGCTACACATGCCCCCAGTTCTTTCAGTCTACTCCTTAATAATTAACAATTTCATCATCATCCACTTTCCCTCTCAAAGTCTCTTTCGCCAAATACATCAAGCTCCACCAGTATTCTCAACTCATTTTGAGGAAGCAAAGGATATGCGCTCTCCTAAACATATTGGCAGACTGGGTAGCCAGCCTCTCTCAACAGCTGGTACCTCAGCTTTGACGCTGACAATGATCTGAAGATCAAAGCAGTGAATAGCAATTAAAAAAGAACTGCTTCAAAAGACATGAAGAGTGAAGACCTCTTCAAAGTCTCTTCTCCAAATGAAGAAATTATGAATCTCCTTTGCTCTTACAGGGAGCTCTTACACTAAGAACTTCTCTGTCAGTAATGGTACTACATCTACAGTCCCTTCAGCTTGAGGCTGTCCCTCTGCAAACAATGGCATCTGGAACTCCAGCAAAAATTGGGATTTCCTCATCAACAATGCAATAAATTTGAAGATTCAAGAAAACTAGACCTTTCAGACATCTACAGCAGGATTAACATCTACAGCAAGCTCCTTTAAACTATTCTGACACCAGCCTTGACTGAAAGTTTAATATTAACATCACATACTTCCTCCACAACAGCTACACAGGCAATTAGAACCGCATCTAATTTTGGTGCTTCTTCAGATACTTGATTTGTGGCTAACGTATTCTACAAATAATCTCTTAATCTCTTTAGATCTGGTATGGTATTTGGATACTACCATAGTATGTTCATTTCCGTCTCTTGCACTGTCTCTAACACGTAAATCCCACTCTGTTGTTTGACGGTGCTGTGTAACTGCCATTTTCTGTGGAGTCAGGCCCACCTTGCACATGTTCCCGTCATTCTTGTTGTGAAACAGAATGCTGATTTTCTGCAGAAGTCCTTTAAATTCTTCTTCAACCTCTCACTGTACAAACAGTTCCTTGGTGATTACCTGAAAATATATGTAAATACATATGTGATATGTGATGTCTTTGACTTGTCCAGACAAGTTATGAACCAGCACAGTGGCGTGGGTTATTTAAAACCATGTCCAGCTTCTGCAAAATCGATTCCATTTCTGGTTTCACACTGTGTTCTATAGATCCTCCAGGAGCAATCGTACTTTGCATTTTTACATTTTGCATACCACAGGCTGCAGTCAAATTTTCCACAGGTAATATAACACTGGAATCTAGTTATTCCTTCCTCAGTCCTTGACATTTTATTCAACTTACTTGTCCTGCAGCATTTTCCACAATAAAGCTGTCAGAGAGTCCTGTGGAGCTCTGATGCATTTTTAAAGATTTATGTCTACGTCTTCCTCAAAGCCAAGTGGGCTCCTCTGAGTTTTTTTTATCTCAGAACCTCTCTTTTCTTAAATAATCTTCAGGAATGCTCAGGCCATCTTCAACATACGATGATGGTGCTCGACAGAAACATTAGAGCAATTTTTTTTTAACTCATTAAAGGATGTGGGAAAGCAAGGTGAACCAGTATTTGTTACCCATCCCTAGTTGCACTTGAGAAGGTGGTGATGTGCTTCCTTCTTGAATCACTGCTCTCCATTTGGTGGAGGTGCGCCAACAAGCCCATTAGGGAGGCTATTCCAGGATTTCGACCCAGAAGCACAGAAGGAATGGTAATATATTTCCAAGTCAGGAGAGTGAGTGGTTTAGAGGGGAACTTGCAGGTGGCAGTGATGTTCCCATGTATCTGCTGCCAGTGTCTTTCTTTGGAAGTAGCCAGAGATTTGGAAGGTGCTGATACTCACTGCCACTGAACATCGATGATGGAAGGAGGGAATGTTTGTGAATGTGATGCCAATCAAACAGACTGCTTTGCCCTGGATGGTATTGAGTTTCTTGAGTTTTCATGAAGCTACATTTATCCAAGCAAGTAGTGATTATTCCATCAAGTCCATGACTTGTGCCTTGTAGATGGTGGACAGGCTTTGGGGAGTCAGGAGATGAGGTACTCATGGAGAATTCCTAGCATCTGACTTGCCGTTATAGCCACAGTACTCGCGTGGCTAGTCCAGCTCAGTTTCTGGGAAATAGTAACTCCAGTGATGTCAATTATAGGTGAATCAGCAACGACAGTGCCACTGAATGTCAAGGAGTGATGGTTAGAACCTTTCTTCTTTGAAATGATAATTGCCTGGAAATTGTATGATGTGAATATTACTTGCCAGTTATCAGCAGAAACTTGGATATTGTCCAGATCTTGCTGCATTTGGACATGGATAGCTTCAATACAAAAATAGGTGGGAGAGCATGTTGTGATGAGGTGATAAAGGATCTGCAAAGGTACATAGATAGGTTGAGTGGATAGACAAAAACTTAGCAGATGGAATTTAATGTAAGGAAGAGTGACATTACGCACTTTGGTAGGAAGAATCACAAAACAGACTAGTATTTAAATAAGAGAAACTGCAAAAAAATTTGTGGCACAAACACAAACAGTGAAAATCCCCACTTCTGACCTTTTAATGAATGAAGCAGGTGAAGATGGTTGAGCCTAGCACACTATCCTGAGATGTCCTGGAGTTGAGATGACTGAGATGCCTACAGTTCAGGGACAGCATGTTCCTGTTAGTGTAAAGGGCAAAGTTGGCAGGAGTGGGGAACACTGGATCATTCGAGATGTTGAGGATCTTACATTGGCTAAGCCAGTGCAGTTCACTGAGCAGGAGTCAGGGAACTTCCTGAGGTCATACCACTGAAACTAGTTTGGTCTCGTACCGAGACTGGAAGGTTTGAATTATGAGGAGAGGCTGGATAGGCTTGGATTTCTTTTCCTGGAGCACGGCAGGCTCTGCTTATCTTCTCTGCTTACCTTCCCCTCCATTATCCTAAGACATAAACCTTAAATATTCTACAGCTCAGCAATTAGCTTGTTTCTACCAGTGACAACAAAACAGCAATCCATTATAACCTTTATGCTGAAGGCATAATTTAAAACTCTTAAAATTCTAAGTATTATCAATAATACATTGAGGTACTTTGTTTTCTGGGATGCAGTAATTTATTCTTGTCTTCAAATTTGAAAATAAAGTTTCACAAATATCTAACTGTTACCAAGTTTCCTCAGAGAAACACTTGAGTATTTTGTACAGAATTTGCTATATATTTAAAAATACAGTTCTCATGTGAGTTTTAATTATAATCTTTAGCTCCAGTTTTCTAAGTCCACAAGAAGAATGCAATTTATCTGTTCTTCTTGCTAAAATCCTGAAATACTAAAATATTCTGAAGGGCTAAGTAACCTTCCATTTTCATTCCCAACCTCTGTATTCGACCGCTTAAGCACAGGTCTCCCTGTGACTGCGACACAGTAACTCAAAACAACTGAAAACATACTTGGTTTCCAGTAATCCATTGCTGTGGTTTCAGATTGCAAATAAGCTGCTCCTTCCGGAACTCTAAATGCAGTAAGGTTAATTTTTTTTAACTGAGGATTACTGTGCATTTCTTGTGCGTGGACAATAATAATGTACTTCATAGGTTCAGTTTTATCTCTCAGCACCTAATGACGTACAGGCCGCGTAAGACTCATCCAGAGCTTAGAGCCGAGACAACAGAATGTGTGGCCGCCAGGGGTGGGGTAAAGAGAGTGGTGGATTCTGAAGACCCCCCAATTCAAAACTGATTCATGAGAAGCTGGAGATTTACCAAGCAATGAGGAGCACTGTATATGATTTCAAACGAATGAGATGAACTAAAGGAATTGATAGACTGCTGTAATTCATTATGGACATGTGTAAATAAATGCATTTGCAAAGGCTAAACGAGCTATAAGAACATAGACTTCTGTAGATGCCCAGAGAAACACAGAAGCTGGTATCACTTGTGGAATGTATGTAGTCTCCAAGGTTTGCCAATGTCTGAAAAAATTGTCAGTAACAACAAGAAAAATCTTTTGGTCAGACATATATGATTTTAAATTTAGTGGAGCAGCCAGTGGAAGATTTAAGTTTACTGTAAAGAGCTATTTTTGTTTTGCTTGCAGAACTTCACTTTCACAAGCTTTGTAGAATAGGAGAACATGGTAACATAGCGGTAATGTCATTGGACTAGTAATCTAGAAACCAGGTTAACATTCTGGGGATATGATTTTGAATCCCACAGATTGCAGATGGTGAAATTTGATTTCAATAATATCTGGAATTTAGAGCTGGTCTAATGATAAACAATTGCCGATTTAAAAACAAACCCATCTGGTTCGCGAATAAGCTTTAAGGAAAGAAATCTGTCATCCTAACCTAGTCTGCCTCAGACTCACAGCAATGTGATTAACTATTAACTGCCCTCTCAAATGGCTGAGCAAGCCACACAGTACAAAGGCAGTCAAGGATGGGTAACAAATGCTGGCTTTGCCTGTGACACCCATATCTCATGCAAAAAGAAAAAATAAATCAAAAACACTGCTTCTTGAAGCAGATTAAAGATTACTTTACAATGGTTCATTAAAAAGGTAGCTTTACTTCATGAACAGTTTAATGTAGAGAAAAATAATTTTCAGGTTTCGATTTTATATATGTAGAAAACTGAATGTAGAAAGCAATATAGCAGATCTTGATATTTTATATCACTCCCAAGCTTTAATTTCATTGACTTTAGTGGAATTCAAACAGACTACTGATTTGCTATTGTCCATTTTACAGCAACTCACATGCTCAAGGTTGACCCCAATATGTCCCATATTGAACTGTGACTATTTTTTTAAAAATTGAGTGAAAGTATGAATGGTGAAACTTGTTTCTATTGACAGAAGGTTGCCCGGGTTTATGTAATGGAAATGGGCGATGCACGCTGGATCAGAATGGTTGGCATTGTATGTGTCAATTGGGCTGGAGGGGTGCTGGGTGTGACACCTCTATGGAAACTGCTTGTGGAGATGGAAAAGATAATGATGGAGGTAAGAAGCAATTTGTGCATTTGATATTTTCACCACAGGCCAAAGGTTGTTCCTTAATCAACAAGTAGTTCCTGTTGAAATAATCATGAACGTATTGATTTATTATTGTGAATATTTATGTGACTGCAACTGCAAAGTTTAACCCCTAACCAGACCCCACTTGGCCAATACATGAACGTTTTTCACTCCTCAGAAATTTTGCATACATTTCTTATTTGGATTTTGTCAACATGGCAGACTGTGACATGGAATCTCTTTCCTACAGAGATAAACATTTTTTTTTATTGGGTATGCCAGGAGCAGTTTTGAGTTTTCACTCAACTGCATTAAGTTAGCCCTGATACTTTGAGAAAAATCTATATGTAACATCAGAGCTTTTGTTATGAAGTACATCTTCGCCAAAGGGTTTTTGATAATTTGTCATCATGCCTTTCAGTCAAGTTTCATACACAACATTTGATGGGTATTCTGTCCTTCTGACATGGAGCATAAAAAAATTCTCTGAGGTTAATTAAATGCAGTTTCAAAAAGTGGGAGCATTAATTGGTATCAGCAGTTAGTATGTCCCAGTAACCCAATTATATAGACCCTCAATATCCATGATTGGCAGGAGTTGCTCTTCAGTCTTGATTCTTTTGCAACACCGAAGTCACCATATAAATTTTTCCAACTTCATTTTCCATTTCTGTAATTTGAAATGTGTATGCTTTAATCATTACACTGTCTGCACTCCCCTGTTTTATCTTCCACTTCCTCCACTTACATTTTGCATTAGCAGACAGCCCCAGAACATTTTCTGTTTCCAGTTTTCGGTTTGTATTCCCATTAGCGTGAATGTACATTCTGCAATCTGTTTGAACTTGGGGTGGTCAAGATTATGGTTGGTAAAGTGAAATGTTCGCAGAAACTGGAATTTATCCCCTGCTCTAACAACTCCGAATGTCATATTCCAAAAGTTTATTCTTTGTACATTATTTGGTAGTGGAGGTCTCCTTGAGACATTTAAAGCGTGGATCAGAATACATACATGGATAGGTTGTTGTCCGACATTTAATTGGGAGAAATAAACCCTCTGCCAGTGAATTAGAAAAAATAGTTTTTTGCCTTCCACTATTAAAAAGCCCAAGTCTTTTTTTAAAAAAAATTAATTAATTTGTTAAAGATATCTTGGTTCTTTCTGTCCCAGATGGCTTAATAGATTGCATGGACCCTGACTGCTGCCTTCAGCCTTTATGCCACGATAATCCGCTGTGTCTCGGATCACCTGATCCTCTTGATGTTATTCAGCAAACACAGGTGCCAACTTTACAACAAAATCTTCAATCCTTCTACGACAGAGTCAAATTCCTCATCAGCAAGGATAGCACACATGTGATCCCTGGTGAAAACCCTTTCAACAGTGGGTAAGCCCTTTGATTTCAGGTATTTCAAAATACATCTGTGGCATGATTCTAAACTACACTAAAATTCGACATTTGCATTGACTTGTTGCCAACTTTTTCCATTAGAAAGCCTTGTCTACATTTATAATGAAAGCTTCTGCATGCATTCAGCTGTAGAGACTTCCCAGCCAGTGGAGTTGCTGCAATGGGATGGCAAAATGGCATAATTGCATTAGCCAATTCTTCTTATAAATGTTGAAAAAGAATAAGATCATAATATGTAGCATTAAAATTAGGAATGAAATATGTCTTCATGTCATAATTGAAAATAGCCCTGACTTTGAACACTATATTACCTTGCCCTTTACCCTCCGTGCAATCATGAGTGATCGCTAAATTATGTTTAAAGCCAAAAGCTGGATTTTCCATTTCGCAGTTGGTGAAGGGAAACACATGGTGAGAGTTGTCGTACAATCATCTGGGTTTGAAGCTTTTTTCATTCATTTGTGGGATGCGGGCATTGCCAGCTGGCCAGCATTTATTGCATGTCCCTAGTTGCCCTTGAGAAGGTGGTGCTGAGCTGCCTTCTTGTACCGCTGCAGTCCACATACTGTAGGTTGACCCACAATGCTGTGACAGAGAGCGTTCCAGGATTTTGACCCAGTGACAGTGAAGGAACGGCGATATATTACTGAGTCAGGATGGTGAGTGGCTTGGAGAGGAACTTGAATGTGGTCGTGTTCCTATGTATCTACTGCCCTGGTCCTTTGAGGTGTAAGTGTCGTGGGCTTGGAAGATGCTGTCTGAAGAACTTTGATGAATATCTGCAGTACCTCTTGTAAACAGTAGAAACTATTGCTACTGAGCGTCTGTGTTAGAGGGAATGGATGTTTGTGGATGTGGTACCAATTAAGTGGGCTGTTTTGTCCTGGAAGTTGTGAAGCTTCTTGAGTGGAGCCACACCCATCCAGGCAAGTGGGGATTATTCCATCACAGTCCTGATTTGTGCCTTCGTGGTGATGGACAGGTTTTGGGGAATCAGGAGGTGAGTTACTCACTGCAGTATTCCTAGCCTCTTACCTGCTCTCGGGGTATGCACATTGCTGGCTTGACCAGCATTTATTGCCCAGACCTAGTTGCATTTGGGAAGGAGATGGTGAACTGCCTTCTTGAACCTCTGTCATCCATGTGCTTTATGTAGATGCAAAATGCCATTAGGGAGGGAGTTCCAGAATCTTGCCCCAATGACAGTGAAGGAACGATGATATATATGGAAAGTGCCATCTAAGCAGCCTTGGTGAATTTCTGTAGTGCATCTTGTAAATGGAACACGGCAACGAAATAAGTGAATCTTTGTGAATTTGGTGCCAATCAAGTGGGCTGCTTTGTCCTGGATGGTGTCAAAATTCTTGAGTGTTGTTGGAGCTGTGGCAAGTGGAGAGTAGTCCATCACACTGTTTACTTGTGCCTTCTAAGTGGTAGACAGACTTTGGGGAGTCAGGAGATGATTACTGACTGCAGTATTCCTAGCCTCTGATATGTACTTACATCCACAGTAGTTACATAACTAGTCCATTTTAGTTTCTGGTCAATGATAACCTCCAGGATGTTGATTGTGGGGCTTCAGTGATGGTCATGCCATTCAGCAATGCGGAGCAATAGTGAGATTCTCCATTTGGAGATGGTTACTGCCTGCCACATGTACAGCTAGTTTTTTACTTGCCACATATTAGCCCAAGGCTGGATTTTGTCCAGGCCTCTGATCATTTTGACTGCTTCTGTAGGTAACAGCTTCCTGGCATAATCTGAGGTGTTGTTGATGCTGATAATCTGTCATATGGAGATAACTGCATAAAACCCAATAGATATGGCTTTGGGCCATCACTTGCCGCATACATGGGCCACCTTGTGCAGACTATGGTGCTTCTGTTGGTTAGTAGCTGGTGCTGGCTTGTGCTGCTCTTGTTCCTGCTGCTGCAGATGGACCTCTTGCTCTTCTTGTTGCCATTGGAGCAGTTGAAGCCTCTGGTTTCATCTGAGGACTAAGATGACCAGAAGAATGACAGTGTAGCCATGTGGCAATACCATCCATTCAGGATGGCAGAACATGCCAGGCTTGTGGTGGTTGGATTGTGGCAATGGGGTTGCTTCTATATTGCTTTCAGTTCCTTTGCTGCATTGCTTACTGCATCCTCATAGAACATGGAGTAACAATCAGGAGAAAATTACTTTAGATCTGTAACTTCAAGGGATCTCTTTGGAATGTGATTCTGGGAGGACTGTTGAAAGTTGGCAGTGTGTGTGAGTTGAATGCAGCTGCATCTGGTTGTCCATCCAAAGGACTGTTGATTAATCGCACGTCCTGTCAGCTGCCTAAAATGTGCAAGATATAACTCCACCCCCAACTAAAAACTCCTCCTAATTTAGCTGCAGTCATTTCTACTTGGACAGAGTAAGTTTAATACCCTTTCAGAGTGGAGAGATTCAGCTACTTTGTAAGGCCATTCAAGTTCCAAGCCCACCATCTGACTCTCTATTTCTCCCCACAGTTTTGTACCATCCTCTCACTGGTTCACCATCTCTATTACTCTTGTGACCCTCAATCCACTTTTTATTGCTCCACTGTCAATTATTATCATCATTGACGTCCTTCCCCGGGAATCCCTGGACATTAAAGTCCCACTGCTTCTGCTGAGCCATACACCTCCCTTATTCAAAGTCATTTGCACCCTGATTTTCCTAGATCATACTGTTCCCCCACTCCGCAACCAACTAAGATTACAAGGTCCCCACCCCAAGGTTCCAATTACCCACCTACCATATAAAAATTCCTCCATCTCTGACCATTCCCTCGGATGCAGTATGACCAATGCCATGGACAGACCCTCCGGCATATTGGACCGACAATGCCCGTACACACTGGGGCTTAACCCACGGGCTAAGTGGAGCTTCTTCCCAGCTCCACTCCCACTGCCCAACAGGAGCACACGTCCAGATTCTGGACTTACTGGAGCACGGCGTAATTTTCTTTTCTCCTCCTCACTGCTTTCACAGTTCCATGCTACTAATGCAATATTAACTAAAGTCTGCCACTCATCCGTAAGCTGCCTGTTAAATGCTCTGTGCTAGTTGGGCTTGAAGATGGCCCAGGGAGACGAGCTGCCTAAGATTTCTTGGAAGTGGGTCACCTGTCCTTGGAGAAGCGACAGCCACAAGTGACTGCAAGCAACCTTTAGAGCCATAATGCTGTAAGGACAAAGCGGCAAGTTCTTGTGCCAAAGTGGCAGAAAAAGTGCAGCTTGCCAAATAAACATTTGCCTTTTGCTTTGGGGTTTCTGAAATGTCAAGTTTCTCAATTGGGTAGAAGTTAATTGGGAAGACAAAATTAATTCAAATTCTGGGGAAGTAACGAAATGAAGCTGCATGCAGCTGACTTTTTATAACCTGTTGCTGACATGCTCATCCTGTCACCTAAAGGGGGAGGACCTCATGGCTGAAGGTTTATTTGATTGATTTCACTCACTGGCCGGTCTTGTCACCATGGTGGGCAGCGCAAAATCTCATCCAAATCTTCAGAACAAAAGTCCCATCTCAACGAAAGACACAAGGAACTGTGCATCCTTCATATCTGCCCTGGGAATTTAAATTGACTCTGTATATAATATATTTCCAGATTGTTCTTTATATTTACTTCTTCTGTAAAATGATATATGAGAGTTATAGGGATTGTCTAAGTGGATCAGCATACTATTTAGTTAATTGCTAGGTGGAGCAAATGGATTGTAAATATTATTGTTGTTGTTTGTTTCATGTGGGCTAGAGATTTCCTTACTGAAACATTTTTATTGTTGATTTTGATGTTTAATTCAATAAGTCACGTCAGAGAAAAGTGCAAATGCAGTCTACCTTGGTATTATGAGATGTGTATATTCTGACAGGACATTGCAGTGTGCTGCGTCTCATTTGTTGAAATCTATCTAGCACTGTATTTGTGTAATGAGCTGATGACTCTGACAAAATTATTTACTTGGAACATGAACCACAACAATTTTGATGGATGTGATGCATAACAAACATTTTCCATATTGTGAGTACAATGTGCACAATCTGCTCATTGCAGGCATGAGGTAACATGCTCAGACAAGTTATGGACTTTATGTAAAAAAAATTAGTTTATTTTTGCAAATCTTAGAAGTAAATTCTATAAATTTGTTTGTATTTGAGTGTGTTCTGGCAATAAAGGTGCAAATTAGGTGGATTGGCCACATTAAAGCGCCCATAGTGTTTAGGGATGTGTAGGTTGGGTGCATTAGCCATGGGAAATGTGGGGTTACAGGGAGAGGTTAAGGGGATTGGTCTGGTTGGGATGCTCTTTGGAGAGTTAGTGTGGACTTGTTGGACTGAATGGCCTGTTTTCACGCTGTAGGGATTCTAAGAATTCTACGGAAAAAACTTGCAAAGTAAAATCTTTGAATTGTTACAACACTGCAGGCCACTTGGCCCATCATCTTTGCCTGCTCTTGGCAAAGCAACTCAGTTAGTCCCACTCCACTATCCACTGCTCTGTAGTCCTTAGGAGCTGTAGTAGAAATTGCAGCTATTATATGAGATGCCAGTGACCAGAAGTAGCAAGGGTCATCACGTTAAGCATGCTACGAATTATCTGTGTTCATTTGTCAGTTTATCAAGTCACTTTGTCAATTTATCAAATCACTTTTAATCTCAGTACATTCTGCGAATTTTACACTGGATAATTTCCTCTGGTTCAGCATCATAGACCACTCCCAAAAGTGAGCACTCACTCCAACAACACAGTTCATGTGTTTACTTTGCCAGCATCTAGGGAAATATATAGTGAGCACAGGCCAATTAAGGAACTTCCAGTGCTCTGCTCCTGAATGTATTGCATGTCCTCACGATTTCCTGGACTTCAGTAGACGGAATAATAATCGTTCGAGGAGGATATAGCTTACTTTTTAAAACTACTACTCAGATTTATTGCAAACAGATAAATAATGGTA